GCCGAGCGCTCGGCTGCCAGGGGCGAAGGGGGGGGAAGAGGAGGAGGAAGAAGAGGAGGAGGACCAGCGTAAACCCAAGAGTCATGAACGATGTTGGAATAAACCCTCCCCCCAAGCTCCCTCTTCATAGACCCCTATGACGGTTCATTTCCACTGATGGAACTGCCTCGTCGGAAGACAACCGTGTGGAGACCCTGCAGCATGCCAAAACATTGTTGTCGGAATTCCAACGCCATGGATCAACCTGACTGTTGCGTCTTGACGATCCGGAACCGTGCCAGAACGCCATCTTTCAACATTACGAATTAATATAACTGTTGTATCCTCATAATCCTGAATCCTTCCACAACACAGTTTCTGGTACACTGATCATGGGAATCCGTGAAACCCTTGCAAAAGTTTAAAAAGAATGTGCGCACCGCTAAGGAGAGAACCACATTTGGAAAGGAGCAGCCCTCAATCCGTGAAGCTCTTGCGAATGTTTTGAGCGGCGTTTAGGCGAGAGCGACATTTTGACAACGCCCCGCCCTCAATCAGTGAAGCTCTTGCAAATGTCTTAAACGAATGTGCGCGACGCTACGGCGAGAGCCACATTTTGAAAACGACCCGCCCTCAATCTGTGAAGTTCTTGCAATTTTTTGGATCGAATGCGCGCGGCGCGAATGCGAGAGCCACATTTGAAAACCACCCGCCCTCCATGTTTGAAGTCCTTGCCAATGTTTAAGCATCAGGGTTATAAGTGGTGAGGAAGTCTTAGGCGAAGCGCACGGCCCGCCCTAAAATCTGGCCTCGGGGTGAGACAGGGAGAAGTTAATTATATGGAACAGGAAAGGACGAAAAGGAGGAGGAGGCGGAGGAGGAGGAGGCGGAGGAGGAGGAGGAGGAGTGTGAGGAGGAGGAGGAGGAGGAGAAGGATGATGATGAGGATGTGGATGATGATTCTGATTCTGATGATGATAACGATGATAGCGACGATGACGACGACGATGATGATGATGCTGATGATGCTGATGATGATGTGATGGCGAATGCGATTATGCTGATTCTGATGATGCTGCTGATAATGATGCTGATGATGATGGGGATGGTGATGATGATATGATGCTGATGCTGCCGATTCTGTTCTAATGATGATGCTTCTCTTATCCCCGCCGTGCCCGCAATGCGCAGGCGGTCTGCAGCTTCTCGGCCCAAGACCCTCGCGTCTGCGGGCCGCGGCCTCCCCTCGCCCCCCCCCCTGTCGGGACGCGCGCGCGCGCGTGGGGGGAGGGCTGCGGGATTTCTTCTTTCAAGGACGCTGCCGCGTTCTCCCCTCATCGGGACATCGGGGTGGCGGAGAGCGCACTTGCTTCGCCGCCCCGACTCCCTTGGGGGGGCCCCCGTCTGCCTCGGGCTGGCGGTGAGCAGCGGGCTCCCGCTTTCGCTGCTCAGCACGGGAGTCGTCTCCCTGTTGACGAGTGCCGTGGCCTGCGGCTTGTGCGGGTGCGTGGCTGCACCTGCCTGGCGGGGCAAAGGCGCTTCAGGCGCCCCCCGCTCGTGGCGGCTGAGCACCCGCTGGGTGTTTAGGGCCGTCGCGCGGCGCGAGCAGGTCCGCCGGCTCCAGCCTCCTGGCCGTGTGGCCAGTCTGGACGTGCGTCCAGGGGCCTGTGTGCCCTCACCGCCTTGGCTGCCTTCGCCTCGGCTGTGTGGCGATCCGCTCGTCCTCCCTGCTCGGGGTGCAGTCCCCCGCTGGCGTGATGTGCTTTTGCTTGCTGCCATTATGCATCCTTTGGTGTGCCTGGCTTCTGCGCCGGTGCCAGACGGCGTCCCGTGGCCGGGCCTGCTTCCAGTCGACCACCCGCCTTTCGTAGCATCGTGGCCGGTAGTGCCTACCTGGCCGCCGCCGCAAAACTCTTCTCCCCCCTCTCCCTACTTCTTCCCCCTGGCCCTCGGGGCGGAGGAGCTGGAGATTCATCTGAGGAGAGGACGAGGAGGAGGAGGAGGAGCGTACACGCCATGTGCTCCGGCACAACGAAAAGGCGAGCTCCTTGGCGGCTCCGCCGGACAGCACTATCCGGCGGCGAGTCCGGCTCATCCTCGTGCGAATATTCCCGCTGGCGAGATCCCTGCCAAAGGCGAGCATTCTGGCGGCGGCAACGGACAGCACTCTCTGGCGGCGGGCCTGGCTCCTCCTCTCGCGAGAACTCCTGCTGGCGAGAGCCTTACCAAAAGCAAGGCGGACAAAGGCGCAACGACAACTGCGCGGGGTATGGAGGAGTCGGAGCGGGTGGACCTCACTAACCTCCACCTCCTCTCCACTCCCTCACCTCCTTTCGCCGCTTCGCACCGGCCCGGACGCGTGTCTCGGCAACCCAGCCGTCATATGGGGACCACCAGGTCCGCGGATGCCGACGGCTTTCCGCGCGCGGTGCGCTCGGGCGCCAACGGCGTCAGGGCACCCACGCGTCTGCCCAGCCAAGGCTGTACGGCGGTTGAGCCGCTGGGATCTTCGGATCGGGCGATTTGGCGTGTTCGCCCGCCGCCCGGCTTAAGCGCTTTGCCGTCTCTCGGGGTCGCGCCGATTGAGCCGCCGCCGGGTCTCGTCGGCCGGGCGGCCGACTTGGTCATGCCTGGTTCGGCTAGCCCGCTTTCGGCCGCCAGCGCGCTCGAAGGCGGTCTCAGTGATGAATGCAGCCCGCTCCGGATTTCTGCGTTGGGGGTAGCAGCGTTCCCTTTTCTGTGGACCGCGCCTCCGATTACGCACCGGCGTCCTGGCAGCGGCGCGTGCGCAACGGTGGCGGCGGTCGCCGCTGCCGCTCCACATTCGGCCTCCTTGATCGAGCGTGTGGGTCTGCCCCCAGGCCTCCTGGGTCTGGACGCTGGCGCGCCTGCGCCACCGTCGTCCGTCAGCAGGCCCGTCGCGTGTTCGCCCCCTCCGCCCGTCTCCGGGGCGGATGCGGAGACCGCGGCCGCCGCCTTCGCTGCCACTCGCAGTTTGGAGGCCGCCGCTCTGGGCGTGATCACTTCGGCGCCTGCGCCCTTTACCGCCCCCTGCGCTGCGGACGCGGCTGCCGTCATCGCGGGTGGCCGCCGGCGTTTTCTCGCGGAGTGCCCTCTCCGGGAGCACCCCGCCGGAACACGCGCCCCGCCGCCTCACCTTGGGGTTGCCAGCTTCGGGGGCGGAGTTGGCGCGCCAGGTGCAGAAGTGCCAATCTCGGGTTGCGGGGGTGGGCAGGTGCCTTCCGAGCTTTTGGTCGACCCAATGCCGTCAGTAGCGGCCGTCGGCGCTAACCGGCGCGGCGTCCGACCTCCCTTGGCTCGCGCCGCGCCCCTCGCGCGCGCAACGGGTGAGCAGGTTCAGGCTGCGTCGGCCCCGTCGAGGCGCCGCCTTGGGCGAGCACCCAGCACCGCCTGCCCCGTCAAGCACGAGGACTCGCAGTGGTCGTTCGAGGCGCGTGGAGATCCTCTGACCCTGCCTGGCCCAGCATCCGCTGCAAGCGCAGGGCCCCGTGCGAGCGCTGTGGCAAGATCGAGCCATCCCGACCTGCCGTGGTCACTCGGGGTACGTGGGCCCCCCCCTACGTCCATGCCAGGCTCAGCCCCACGGCTGCCGGACGCTACTCGGATGGCTTCTGCTACCAACGCAGGACCCCCAGCGAGCAGCGTGTCCAGTTGGAGCCTTCGTGACCTGCCGCGGTCGCTCGAGGCGCGGGGGGGTCCACCCGCGACCTTGTCAGGCTCAGCTTCGGTGTTGGCCGACGCTGCCCGCGACTTCATCGGGTCGTGTGAACCTGCCCTGCTCTCGCCGCCTAGCAGCTTCGTGGGCGGGGTCGACGCGAATGCTGGTGGCCCGTCTCCACGCGGCGCGGGCGTTCAGGTTGCGGCTGTGCCCTTGAGCCGCGCCGCTCGCGACGCGTGCGCGGAGGAGGAGTCGATTCAACCTGCGCCATCTCAGGCGGAGCGCTGCGTTCCAGAGGGGTTCGTCCTCGGCGTGGTGGGCGGCGAGGCCGCTGGGCCGTCGGCTGCGCACCCCACGGAAATGAACCGCGCGCTCGCAAGTGGCGCCACGGCGCAGCCCGAGACGAGCGGACGCGGGCCCCGTGGGCTGCAGAGCGCCGACGGTATGAGCAGCGGCTCTGCCCTTGGCCGTGTTCGTCTAGGCACCGCTGACGCTTGCCGAGCTCCGGGCGTCACGAAGCGGCACGGCGGGGGGGCGAGTGCGCATCAGCTGGGCAAGACGCCCGCTGATGCCGCTCGCAGCTTCTTGGCGAAGCAGGCTCACCGCGGTAGGCGCTGGGGGGTCCAGCAGGGTCGCTGCGACCTTGCAGGGGCCCCCGAACGCCATCGGGGTAGCCCTTGCTCCGTCCCCGAGGCCCCCGCCACTTCACCTGGCCATTTTGGCCCCGTTTTCCCCGGTACGGCTCGTACCGACCCTGATCCAGGTCCTGCACCTTTCGTGCTGGATCTTTCTGCCTTGCTGCGCCTGTTCCCAGGCGCGCACGTCGACATAACCCACTGGGCCGCTGCGTTGCCCCAGGCTGGGATGGGTTCTCGTTGTGCTCTTGCTTCCTTCACCCGCTCATCACTCTACGCGTCGGAACGGGACGTCTCTACGGAGCGCGCTCCCCGCGATCCATGGCCGTGCCCGCCTGCCCCATCCTTGCCGCCGCCTCCCGCCCCCTTGACGGGCCGCGCGCGGGAACGTTGGCGGCTGCGGCGCGCTGCTCGCACTTTGGCCCAGCATGCGGTTGTTGCGCTCAACTGGCTTACGCTCGGCCACCCTAGCTTCGCTCCCGCCGAAGCTCAAGTGCGTGCTACGGTCTCCCCGTGCCAGGAGGGGGTGCGCTCGCGTCTTGAGCGCCTTTGTAGGATCGCAGTTCGCCTTGCCCGCGGTGGCAAGAGCGACCTTGGCAGAGCTTTTGCCAAGTTTGACTCCACCGAAGTCTCGCTCCGTGGTCTGGCTACCCACGTCGCAGCTTTGGAGGCTTCCTTTACTTCCTCCTCCCAAGTGCCCGCCCCCA